GAGTGGATAAGCGAGTTACGACACACAGGACAAGCTTACTGCGGCGACTTTCTTCAAACACACAATTAATTAAGAGCGTCGATTTCTAGGAATAAAAACAGTTAATATTCTACAGTAACATTACACGAGCAATCTAAACCCTGTTCACCAGAATGGCTCTGGCCTCAATTATTCCTCTCGAGATAATCAACAGATCTTAATTTCTAATAATAATAATTTATTTGCAAGAAGGTACAATGGCTTGACGAGATTAGATAAGTAATTTTACATTCACGCAAAGCCACTATCACGCAACTTAAATAGCAACTTATTCTCTTAAATGACTGTGTTAACTTGGGCAACTTGGACTTTATCCTCCCGGATGATAACTACAAGAGTTAATGAAGTAGGCATCCTGCAGTCTTGGGAGACTATGGAGTTGCAATCTGGTTCAAGTTTATTGAGAAAATGAAGTACATCTCAAAAGGATAGAGTAGCTTGGGCTATTTCTTCCCTCGTAAGCTCTGGTTGCCGAGGCTGGCGTGGCCTCTACAGGGCGCAACGTGAATGTAGTCATTGAAGAATTGTAGATTTATGAAAATACTTCCTGTAGTGACTTTTGCGCCTGGGTACTGGATGACGCTCGCGTCACCAAAGGGCGTCGGCGGGGCCTGCCAGACATATCTCTGGTAAGATTCGAGCAGGGCGATATTGCATGTAATATTTACTACTACCGTTCGTGAAGGAACATCTCGAGGGCTTCCTTGGTCGTTCATATTTAGATGACTTATCATGGAAGCCATGTCACGGGCTGGGCTTCATTTAGTGATTCACTAATCATCAGCTCACGCGACGACCGGAACCAGTGAAATATTCAATAATTTATTTCATGTTCACTCACAATGTGTGTGTGTGTGTGTGTGTGTACTCACCTAGTTGTGCTTGCGAGGGTTGTGAGCTCTGGCTCTTTGGTCCCGCCTCTCAACTGTCAATCAACTGATGTACAGATTCCTGAGCCTACTGGGCTCTATCATATATACATTTGATACTGTGTATGGAGTCAGCCTCCACCACATCACTTCCTACTGCATTCCATTTACTAACTACTCTGACACTGAAAAAGTTCTTTCTAATGTCTCTGTGGCTCATTTGGGTTCTCGGCTTCCACCTGTGTTCCCTTGTCAGCGTACCACCCTTGTTAAACAATTATCATTATCTACCCTATCAATTCTTCTGATAATTGTGTAGGTAGTGATCATGTCTCCCCGAGCTCTTCTGTCTTCCAGCGACGTGAGGTGTATTTCACGCAGCCTTTCCTCGTAACTCATGCCTCTTAGTTCTGGGACTAGCCTAGTGGCACACCTCTGAACTTTTTCCAGCTTCGTCTTGTGCCTGACTAGGTATGGGCTCCATGCTGGGGCCGCAAACTCCACGACTGGTCTTACACACGTGGGATACAAGGTTCTGAATGATTCCTTACACAGATTCCTGAAGGCAGTTCTGATGTTATCGAGCCTCGCATACGCCGCAGATGTTATTCTTTTGATGTGGGCTTCAGGAGACAGGGTTGGTGTGATATCAACTCCTTACTGAAGGATTCCTTACACAGGTTCCTGAACACCCCAGCGACGTTGGTGAAGAAAGCCTCGACCTCACCAAGACACTGGTGGACGCTCACCGTGAAGATCGGGGGGGGGGGGTCCGCGTTTTATTCACGTATACGAGGGGTTTACAGGTCATTACTAGTCTACCTGTAAACTATTAATGATTGAAACTCCTCCGATATGAACGACAATGGCATTTCATGACAACGAAAACCTTGAGGCCAGTTCCTGGAGTTTAAGGGATTGCCTTAGTAATTACCAGAGAGTTCTCGGACTAATTAAAGCAACCATTCATATACGAGTACCGGAAGGAACCGTAGAGGTTGGTGTTGGGGGGGGGGAAGGCAGGTGTTGGGGGGGAGGAAGGCAGGTGTTGGGGGGGAGGAAGGCAGGTGATGGGGGGGGGGGGAAGGCAGGTGTTGGGGGGGAGGAAGGCAGGTGATGGGGGGGGAAGGCAGGTGTTGGGGGGGAGGAAGGCAGGTGATGGGGGGGGGAAGGCAGGTGTTGGGGGGGAGGAAGGCAGGTGATGGGGGGGGGAAGGCAGGTGTTGGGGGGGAGGAAGGCAGGTGGGGGGGGGGGAGGAAGGCAGGTGGGGGGGGGGAGGAAGGCAGGTGGGGGGGGGAGGAAGGCAGGTGATGGGGGGGGGAGGAAGGCAGGTGTTGGGGGGGAGGAAGGCAGGTGATGGGGGGGGGGAAGGCAGGTGTTGGGGGGGAGGAAGGCAGGTGATGGGGGGAGGGGAAGGCAGGTGTTGGGGGGGAGGAAGGCAGGTGATGGGGGGGGAGGAAGGCAGGTGTTGGGGGGAGGAAGGCAGGTGATGGGGGGGGGGGAAGGCAGCTGTTGGGGGGGAGGAAGGCAGGTGATGGGGGGGGAGGAAGGCAGGTGATGGGGGGGGAGGCAGGTGTTGGGGGGAGGAAGGCAGGTGATGGGGGGGGAAGGCAGGTGATGGGGGGGGGGGAAGGCAGGTGTTGGGGGGGAGGAAGGCAGGTGATGGGGGGGGAGGAAGGCAGGTGTTGGGGGGAGGAAGGCAGGTGATGGGGGGGGGGGAAGGCAGGTGTTGGGGGGAGGAAGGCAGGTGATGGGGGGGGAAGGCAGGTGTTGGGGGGGAGGAAGGCAGGTGATGGGGGGGGAAGGCAGGTGTTGGGGGGGAGGAAGGCAGGTGATGGGGGGGGGGAGGAAGGCAGGTGTTGGGGGGGAGGAAGGCAGGTGATGGGGGGGGAGGAAGGCAGGTGTTGGGGGGGAGGAAGGCAGGTGTTGGGGGGGAGGAAGGCAGGTGATGGGGGGGGAAGGCAGGTGTTGGGGGGAAGGGTAGATGTTGGAGGGAAGGCAAGGGGGAGGGGAGGGTAGGTGTTGGGGGGAAGGCAAGGGGGGGAGGGTAGGTGTTGGGGGGAAGGCAGGGGGGGGGAGGGTAGGTGTTGGGGGGAAGGCAAGGGGGGGGAGGGTAGGTTTTGGGGGAAGGCAAGGGGGGGAGGGTAGGTGTTGGGGGGGAAGGCAAGTAGGGAGGGTAGGTGTTGGGGGGGAAGGCAAGGGGGGAGGGGTAGGTGTTGGGGGGAAGGCAAGGGGGGAGGGTAGTGTTGGGGGGGAAGGCAAGGGGGGGGGGAGGGTGGTGTTGGGGGGAAGGCAAGGGGGGAGGGTGGTGTTGGGGGGAAGGAAAGGGGGGGAGGGTAGGTGTTGGGGGGAAGGCAAGGGGGGGAGGGTAGGTGTTGGGGGAAGGCAAGGGGGGGAGGGCAGGTGTTGGGGGGAAGGCAAGGGGGGGAGGGTAGGTGTTGGGGGGAAGGCAAGGGGGGGAGGGTAGGTGTTGGGGGGAAGGCAAGGGGGGGGAGGGTAGGTGTTGGGAGGAAGGCAAGGGGGGGAGGGTAGGTGTACTGCCAGAGACCTGGAGGTTTGGTAGGGACGAAATTGCTTTGGAAAACATATCACTATATTCAAATGTGGTTATTCTGCATATACAGATATATGTATTTTCAATACAGAATATGTCTCTAGGTCGTATATATTGTAAACTATTTTCTTGCGAGTTAACAATATCTACATATATTACGCTTTCTATGGAAGCAATAACTTTAATGTAGTATATTTCTTCTAGTTGTATATTCAAATGCAGATGATGAGTCACAATAACGTGGCTGAAATATGTTGACCAGACCACACACTAGAAAATGAAGCGACGACGACGTTTCGGTCCGTCCTGGACCATTCACAATCGACTTGAGAATGGTCCAGGACGGACCGAAACGTCGTCGTCTCTTCATTTTCTAGTGTGTGTGGTCTGGTCAACATAGTTGTATATTCTCCATTCAAAAGCAAGACAGCATACGAAAGCCCAGCAGCTGCATATAGTGCTGTACTGCCATTCCTGGTTGGCGGCTCAAGAGTCAGGCAGGCAGGCAGGCAGGCGCGCAAGCCATTGTGCCTGGGCCACACAGCAGCGAGCGAGAGACTAGTAAGAGGCACTCTCCTCCGCGCTCCCCCGTCCGGTGTGGAGGTGCCTGATGTCCTCGTCTTGGGCGGGAAGTCGACAGCTGTGTTCGGTTGCAAAAGTCTTGTGGTCACTTGTTACCACGTGTTTTATATATATTTTGAATACAACTTGTACATGTGTATGATGTGGGAGTATGGGTGGAGTGGTTAATGTACTGGCAAAGTATCTAACGTGTTCTAAGTCCGAGTCTGCTTGAGGAGACAGTTTCTAACTCACTTAACTCGCCAGTTCTAGAAGTGTAACCAAGTCAACACTTGTAGAACTTGTTTATCAACATCCAGTCACACGAGGATGTCTTATCAACATCTCCCTCACACTCGGTCCACCAAGGTTATGACGCCAGACTCTATAGTAGTGGGTTGACAGCTGTTCCTCCGGTCCCTCCAAACTATTACCTGGCGAAGTGCTACTCTTGGGACCCACCCAGCGAGCACTTGATTGAATGGTTTCTAATGCTCGTCATGGCTTAAAATGTCGCGTACGAGTGCTGCACGCGTTGCTCGCGCATTCTCAAGCTTAATTTCAACACGTTGGTGTTCAGTGAACTTCGTACAAGTTGTATATTGTTCCTATCGATGGCAATCAGCTGGGTTAACCACTGTTATTATATCTCCCACTAAAATCAGCTCTTGTCCTCAATTTATTCTTTTCCTCTCCCCACTTTCCCACCGGCCAATCTTGGCCATATGTGAGTAAGGCGATGGCAGCTACATCCTTACACTCGAATAGGGCGAAGTCATTGTTCTGAAGTCGTGTAATAATTTCATTCTAGTGATTTTGTCCTCAGTGAATCAAGTCAGCTTCCTGAGTACAGCTTACTAAATAGAGTGAAAAGTTTTGAACGTGCATTTTTATACAGCTCATAGTGAATCAAAGCACTGTCATGCCATCATTAGTCAAAGATGTGATGACAAAGGGGTGTACATCTCCCCAGAAAGATGAGGTGGCCAGTGTGTCTTCTGGTGGGCGTGGTGGGCGTGTCTTGCGTGACGCTGAAAGGGCGAGGGTCCTTAGAATTGAGGGAGCATGTGGCCGGTGACGTGAGCGAGGCGGTGGGCTCCATGATGAGCCAGGTAGTGAAGGAACACCTTGCCGGCTGCCACCTCGTGCTGGTCACCTCGTCCAAACACTCTTCTGTGCTCTCTCACATCATCAGGCGAGTTTCCTGGGGCCAGATTCACGAAAGCACTTACGCAAGCACTTACGAACGTGTACATCTTTCCTCAATCTTCGCCGGCTTTGGTTACATTTATTAAACAGTTTACAAGCATGAACACTTGCCAATGAACTGTTGTTATTGTTATAAACAGCCTCCTGGTGCTTCGGAGCTCATTAACGGTTTTATAATTGTAAACAAAGCCGCCAAAAATTGAGAAAAGATGTACAGGTTCGTAAGTGCTTGCCTAAGTGGTTTCGTGAATCCGACCCCTGGACTGTGGAATGTTTTTTTTTGCAATGTTGCGTACATTTGTTTTCCTATTTGCAGTATAAATATTTGAAGGAAAGAAAGTTGTTTACAGACGATGTTTCCTGCTTCAGATACAAGAAATTAGATAGAGTCTATGGTTAAGTGACCAACACGAGTTAAAGACTTGGTATGTATACTTCAAGATTCCTGGCGGTAACACCAGCTATGGGGGTAGTGGTGACGGAGGCCGGAGCTGCGTCTGCAGACGGAGTGACTGAGAAGGAATACGACAACCTGAAGCAGAAACTGTGGGGGGACCTCACCCTCGCCTGCCAGGCCCTCGTCGTTGACAACACCAGCAGCAGCAGCAAACACAACTCCACTGTCAGGTACGTTAGTGTTTTTGTAGCTCTTGTGATAGCCGTAATTATTTGTTTAAAGATTCTGGACTTTATTGTAGCACAGATATCATTCATTTGAACAGTTCCATCACTTCATTTTGAACGGGATTTTGTTATCAAGTGCCTGTTTAAGTTATATATCTGACAAGATACTTCGTTAACCCCTGAACTTTTATACTAATTAATAATAATTCCCGTTCTCGTGGATAAAAAGACTGGAAATAATATATATATGTACATCAGGCTTAATTTACTGCTTATATCTAGGTCTCCTCCTTAAGTCAATCTACTGACCCTCCCCAGGTTAACCCCACGCCAATCTCCCGGGTACGTATTCACTGCTACGTGAACAGAGTTATTTGGTGAAAGCCCGGAAATCGAACCCCGTATCCCCCCACCGAGAATCGAGAACAAAGCCAACTGTCCAATGAGACACAGCTTTATATTATTCACATTGTGTACCAACGTTTACTCTATATAAAACACACTTGAGGCAGATATATAAACAACAATATGATTATTGCTGGTAATGCCATCAATACGATTATTGCCGGTCCAGCAGCTGGACACCCTCATAAAGACTGTCAAGCAGTATCCTCCCCCCGATAACAGCTTGACGATTAAATGCAACCTCAGAATACTGAAAAGAATTACTGAAAAAAAAATTGTACCACTTACGGGCTATTCATGCCCGTGCCACCTCTTGGGTGGCTTAATCTTTATCAATCAATCTATTGCCAGTGTGGGAATTGTGATTGCTTCCACCCACACAGGTTCCTGGAGTGGTGTGGGCTCTGGACGCGGCCCCATGCTAGGCTACTGATATTAGGAGACGAGGCAGGAGTGAAAACCTTCTTTCGTCATCATGTTCTTCGAAACACCATCCATGCCCTGTACCTCGCCCTGGACATACCCGCCTTCCGCGCTCTCACTCTCGACACACGTAAGTTGTCATATAACGAAGGCACTAACCCCCTGGAAGCCTATCACACGCGATACAATATTGACAAAAAAAAAAAATTACCCCAGCTCAGTTAGTGTCACGAGAACATGCTGGTAACAGCCTAAGCCATCTGTTATGGCCAAATACATTGATGTATTTGAGCTTGTTATTAAGTTCGTCACCATTTCTTTGTAACAATATAGGCGAGAGAGATGGTGAAGGTGTGTCGGTGGTGAGCGAGGCAGTGGGAGTCTACCGTCGATGTCTGTACTGTGACAATGGACAGGCAGACTCTTCTCTGCTTCACCGTTGGTCTCTTCGCTCCCAAGTCCCCAGAGATCTTCACCTCTTCCAAGGTGAGCTTATTAAATGGTGCGTAACAATAAATTAATGTCCCCCCTCGGTCCTGTGCCAGGTAAATCCACTACGGGTTCATCATAGCCCGTGCTATCTTGAGGTTATCTTGAGATGATTTCGGGGCTTTAGTGTCCCCGCGGCCCGGTCCTCGACCAGGCCTCCACCCCCAGGAAGCAGCCCGTGACAGCTGACTAACACCCAGGTACCTATTTTACTGCTAGGTAACAGGGGCATAGGGTGAACGAAACTCTGCCCATTGTTTCTCGCCGGCGCCTGGGATCGAACCCAGGACCACAGGATCATAAGTCCAGTGTGCTGTCCGCTCGGCCGACCGGCTCCCGGCTCTCCGTGCTACTTGGAAATTTTGTTCCGAGTAGCTAAAACAACAACGATAAATTAATTAATTGTAACCATCTGGTTTAAAAGACGTTCTGTCTTGATCTTGTCACATGATCGCCATAGTAATTGATCCTCGGACCAGTGACCAGATTCACGAAGCAGTTACGCAAGCATTTACGAACCTGTACATTTTTTCTCAGTCTTTGGCGGCTTTGTTTACAATTATTAAACAGTTAATGAGCTCCGAAGCACCAGGAGGCTGTTTATAACAATAACAACAGTTGATTGGCAAGTTTTCATGCTTTAAAACTGTTTAATAAGTGTAACCAAAGCCGTCAAAGATTAAGGAAAGGTCTACACTTTCGTAAGTACTTGCGTAACTGCTTCATGAATCTGGCCCTAGGCTCGTCCAAACTAACCGCCTTCAAAGATATAATCATGTTTTAATGTATTTTGTAAATTAGGAGTTTTTCTTAAATACAAGTAAATATTACAATTTTGTATCTAGTTAGGCCTAGGGTGTGTTTATAATTTAAATGTTTTGGTGTTTTACCCACGTTCATTAAATACCAACACCAAAGCTTTTTCTCATTTGACTCGCGCAAGGGCATATCTCTATGGAGCTCTAGCTCCAGGTCCCAGTCTTCAGCGATGATTTCTATTCAATGATTTCTATTCTATTCGATGATTTCTATTACGTGCCTAATGTCGAAGCTTTTGTAAGAGTCTACCAAGTAAATTAGCGTCTTCTATTTGTATAACAGAAAACGAAATCCGAATAAATTTGATCCGTGAAGGATATACTACTTCACTGAGGATATCATGTACAGAAGGGATATAACAATGATGCTATAATGATGATGGAAACTGTGTGTAAAGATACACATTCTTACAAGAATGTAAGAAATAAATAATAATGATGTATCCCCACTAGCCATTAGGCAGAAAGCAGTGTTGGGTACTTCACTACTTCTAAAATCCACCCATCATCTCCCACTTATATTTTCATTAGTTGAATGTTTTTCTTGTTGTTTAAGGAAAATTCATTTAAATCAAATATTTTGTCTTTGCACCCTGGGGGGGAAAATTCGTCAGAAGACCCCGACGACTTCATGGGTCACAAGTTCATGCTGACAGCCAAGAATTACTTTCCGTACTTCAGCTTCCAGAGGGCCAGCGAGGACCCAGATGACGCGAAGGTCTTCCCGCTGGACTCCCTCAATACCCGCATGATCTACACTTTGTCGTCTCTCCTCAACTTCACGCAAGTACCCGCCTCGCTGCTCTTGTACACTGTAACATTGTTACCTTGTGGCTACCCAACCTTGCTCTTCAAGCCTATGCAGACGAGGAGTCACAATAACGTGGATGAAACTATGTTGACCAAACCACACGCTAGAACTTGAAGGGACGACGACGTTTCGGTCCGTCCTGGACCATTCTCAAGTTGATTGTGTCAAGTCAAGTCGACAATCTACTTGAAAATGGTTCAGGACGGACCGAAACGTCGTCGTCCCTTCATGTTCTAGTGTGTGGTTTGGTCAACATATTTCAACCCTATCATTTAAAAGGCATCAATTAAATGGGTGGAAATGAGAAATGTCACAGATTTGTACCCAATTCGTGAAATATAATTTATAGGAGGCATTTGAAGGATAGTATTATTATTATTATTATAGCTATTTTATTAAGTGATGCTTTCTAGTGATCCTGTAGCGCAATGGTCAGTCCTCGCCTCAAGAAAGGTCCCAGATTCGATCCCAGGGCACGTTTGGACACGTTTCCTGTCATCTGATGCCTCTGTTCACGTAGTTGGAAATGTGTACCCGGGAGTTAACTTGTGGGTGGCATTCCTGCAACAGGTCATCAGTAGCTGGCTTGAGGAACCTCGAAAGGCCCTAACAGGCTTCCTCTCTCCTATTGAAACCTTTTTGGTAAACTCTATGATTAAGGTACTCTTTTTCGCTATTCAGGTACGAGATTCGGGAACCAGCGGACCGTCAGTGGGGAGTACCTTCGGCAGGAGGAAACTTCACAGGCATGGTGGGTGACCTCCAGTCTCAGAGAGCGGATTTCTCCCTCGACCTGACCCTCATCCCGCAGCGAGCAGCCGTCATCGAGTTCTGCAGAGTCTACATCGACGAGTCTGTTGTCATAATCTCTTCCAAGCCCCGTGTTATACTCAAAATTCTGTCAGTTGAAATGTAACCAATCACAGGCAAGTAGGCCTCTGACGTCATGCCAGACAGAGGAGCATCAGCGATGCTCCCAGCAGCCTCAGTTATCCTCACAGACCCAGAGTAGGTGGACCTCGGCTGGCCAGTTATACACCTGTTTGCCTCACTCAATAAATATATACAGAAGCGACTACTGTGTCTACATTCAACCCGAACAAGGCAAACGAATACTGGTAGCAGCAGTGGGATCCAGAAATTTTTTTCTGGAAAGAAAAGTTCAAGTACCCAGCATCGCCTCGTGTTCCAGCCGCCACCGCCGCCGCCATAAGCCGCCATCCTGCCACCCACGCATCAAATATTGTGCCAGACCGGGGTCCTGCCATCAACCACTACTCCAGGCTAACGTTTTAGAAGTAAGGGTCAATATTTTCCTGTGAGAACGCTCACTCATCAGTGAGGAGGAAGGAAGCTTCCCGCGCCAGCCATTTTTGAACCTCGCGCCACCACGTGGGAACCACCTATTACACCCACCACCACCACCACCGCCACCCAAGCTGACAGTATCAAGCTTCGTGAGGGTGCAAGCTACTGCAATCGTCGTCAGCCATCGTCGCAGGTATCAACTGGTTATTCCATCGTCGCAATATTGTCGTCGTCAGAATTTATCTTCGTGCCTCTAGCCTGAACAGTGTGGGGTCCCTGAGTCTCGCGCCACCGCCGCCAGGAGCGCTGCCGTCGCATCCAGTTTGTAAACACGCCTCACATGGGCCTCTTCAGATCTTCACGACGCTTCTCCTACTTTGGCTACTGGTGATCCTCATAAATTACAACCCTGAGATAAGTAATTGCTAGTTGAGAACAACGTGCCAAGTGTTAAAAAGTGACTTATGTAATAATTCCCATAATATCCTGTGAATTAACCATTCAGTGACTTGTTAAATATTGGAGCTGGTTCAGTACTGCACTCCCCACAGTTTTCCTGTGTGATTTCAACATTCCTGCTTCTTACAGTAATTTCATTGAATTTTAATTGTTCTCCTAGAGTGTTATTGGTAAATTCAAATTCCAGTGAATTAAGAAATCCTTGTTTTAGTAGCAGTTAAGGATTTGTGCAATATAATTTTTTTTAATTTCTCCAGACCTAACTTGAAATTTATCCTTTAAGCATTTTATTTTAAACTTTTACCATAGGAGTTATATACATTCCTGTGTCCAGTTTATGTGCTACATCCATATTTCTTGCATTGCCACTTGTTGTGTTGAATCTTTTTAATGAAATTTTGCAATTGCATTTCCCAGTTTTTATTCTAAATTGCTGTGCTTAGTCTGGTTTAATTAATTTACATACATCTAATTCCAGTCATTTTTTTAATGAAAGATTGCTAAATTTAGTTTACAATTGCTTGTTCTTGATTATTTTCTTGCCTAGCCCAATTTAATAATTTTATTTCTGCCATTTTTACTTTAGCCAAGTTGATATTTTTTGTGTTTATTTTTGTGTATACTATTTCTGATGCCAGGTGCACTTAATTATAATCTGCGTTCAAATATTACTTCCACGGCTGTGACAATGCCTACCACTGTTGAAACCCCTTCAGAATCAATGGGAACAGTTGCTTGTCCCAATGGCCAGAGATCAGCTCAGGAAATGGCTATTCCTCTTTTTGCTGGGGAATCGCGTTTATTAGAATCATGGTTTAGTAAGGTTGAAGCGAAAACAGTTGCACGTTTTTCTAAGCCTACTGATGCCGAATACTTAGCAATTGCACGGTCAGCCGTGGACACAACCAAAGGTGATGCACGTTTTGTTGTTGATGAGAAAGCCATTGTTAGCCTCCAGTCTTGGCCTGAATTTAAGGATTTCTTTCGCCGTCGCTTTGTTAATAAAGGAGACCTTGACCCATATAGGTTAGTCAAGAAAATTGCCAATGCCACCATGCAGCCTGGTGAATCGTTTAATGCGTTTACTAGCCGTCTCGATCAGTATCTGTATGCCTTAGTTTCTGCTATGAATAATTCAACTTGGTTAGATAAAGACAATAATCTGTCCCCTGAGGCTATGGCCAAAATGATAGCATTTGGTACTTTAATGCATTTTGCCCCCGAGCATACAAAACCAATCGTTGAGCAACAAAATTTTGGTGTTAAACATGAAATTGGTGAAGTATTTGAGGCTATTAACAATGCCGCAGATAAACTAGCTCCCCGAAGTGCTCAACTGTTGCCACCCTCTGATGCTGTAAATGTAGTTACAAGTTCTCAGCATCCTCCCACAAATTCTCAAAACTCTTGGTCGCAGAAGCGTACCCATGCTCGTAGCCCCCAGTCAAATTCGCCGCCTCATAAAATGCCGAAACGCCATAGTCCACAACCATCCACTCCCTCATGTTGGCATTGTGGTAAGAGTAACCACCTTGCAAGGGACTGTTGGTCCGCCCCTAGATCATCACCTCCTAGACAATTCTCTCGGCCCCCTCATCAATCTAATCATTCTAGGCTTCCATATTGCACGTACCATAAACAAGTTGGTCACCACACTGCGGATTGTAGAGCTAGGCAAAGGACATCTCCACCTCGTAACTCCCATGGTCAGTCTTGGCGAGGCTCACAGCGTCCAAGACATTATCAGAACTCTCGTAATTACAACTCCCAGCCCAGCTATAATGCAATTTCAAATTATAATGCTCAGTCACAGAATGCTGGAGCTCAGAATGTTCACTCCATGTCGTCGGGAAACCCCCAAGGCCATCCGCTAACCAATTCAAGCTAGCCAATCCTAGTGCCCTCCCTGTGTATTCAGTAGCTACCCAAAATAGATTTGGACACTTGACAGAGGAGGACACTGACTCTAGACCAGTTGTAGATGTTGACGGATCCACAGTAAATTTGACACAAACAAGACGCAGATATCCCAGACAACATAAGTCAAAAATAGTAACTTGTCCAGTCTCAAGTGATGGTCCCCTTGTATCAGCCATTGTACATGGTAGAGTTTTAAAAGTTTTTCTTGACTCAGGTGCAAAAATTAATATTGTCAAGCCCTCAGCTCTTAGAGACATTGAAAGTAAGCACCCTACTATTTTAAAACGGTCACACATACCTTTTCTAAGTGGTATTTCAGGAAATAAAGTAAAAGTTCAGGGTGAAATTGACCTCCCACTCAAGTTCAATGATGTCACATTGTCTATAACATGTTTAGTTGTTGACATTATTCATTTTCCTGGAGACATTCTCTTAGGTCTGTACACCATGATTGATGAAAATATTGCATTGTTTCCCCATCGTTGGACCATAAGTATCAAAGACCATGTCATACCCTTGTGTAGCATGTACCGACAGGGCCACGAGTTCAACCTTCAATCAGATTACGTTAATTTTGTTGACACCCGCCTTGCAAGCGTAGGGTTGTCAGATCATTGTCGTGGTAGCATACCCGAGAAAACAGGCACTCGATTGAAGCATAGTAGTTGTACAGTTGTTAAGGAGAATGAGTATCGGGACTTTCTGGAAGGGGACGCCCTAACGGATTCTCGTTGTCTCGCTCGCCTGGCAGCTTCCATCTCTGAAGTCAGTGGTTCCACGGCTACTGACACTGTGCTACACCCTCATTCTCTCACCAGAATAAGAGTTAAGGTTCAGGGAGTGCCTGAGTTGTCGGATGTGATTGCGGAAAGTGAAACATGTAAAGTGAATGGTACATTTGTTGAACCCTCCTGGCACACAGTGCAGGATGGTACTGTCTCACTTTTTATCGCGAACACAAGTAATGCCGATATCCATCTCCAGTCTGGCACCCATGTTGTAGATTTTGCCCATTACTCGTTACCGGTGCGAGTTGTGGATGATGTCTCCATGGATCATACTGTTTGTACACTCACACTAGGAGAACAGGGATCTCAGCCAGAGGTGCAAGCGCAACACCTCAGTCCTACTGATTTTCCTGACTCTGTGGCTCAGCTTTTGGAAATTTTGAACAGGAATAGAGCTGTTGTTGCTCTACCAGGAGAAAAATTAGGTCTCACTCCTCTCATTACACATAAAATTCCCCTTGAACAAGGAACTACGCCTATTTATGTACCAGCTTACCGACTTCCCCATTCTCAGAGAGCAGAAGCAGATAGACTTGTAGAAGAAATGTTACAGAGTGATGTAATTGAATCGAGTAATTCGCCATGGAACGCTCCATTGATTCTTGTACCAAAGCGAGATGGGACTTGGAGACCTGTAATCGATTATCGCAAGCTTAACAGAGTAACAATACCTGATCGTTTCCCACTTCCAGTTCTAAATGATTTGTTGCAAAGTATTGGTCGAAACAAAGTATTCTCAACGTTAGATTTGTTGCAGGGATTCTGGCAAATCCCCCTTGATGAGGAAAGTAAACAATTGACAGCCTTTAGTACTCCCAATGGTCATTTTCATTTCAAAAGAATGCCGTTTGGTTTGCGTAGTAGTCCAATAACCTTTTCACGGCTCATGACAAATCTATTTCGTAGATTGATAGGAAGTACGCTTCTAGTTTACCTTGATGATCTCATAATCATGTCGCAAGATGTTCAGACTCATTTCCAGAACCTTGAAAAAGTACTTGCAAAGCTCGCTGAAGCTAATTTAAAAATAAAGCTTGCAAAATGTTCATTTTTAAAGCAAAAGATTAATTTCCTAGGTCATACAGTTACACCTTCAGGTATTACATTGAATGAATCAAAAATTATTGCTGCCCGTGATTTTCCAACACCTCGTACCGCAGAAGCCGTAAGACAGTTCACAGGTCTTGTAGGATTTTATCGTTCATTTATTGCTGGATTCTCTATTATAGCCGCTCCGCTTTACAAGTTGCAAAGAAAAGATGAACCCTTTGTTTGGGGAGAGGCCCAGGATCAGTCATTCAAAAAACTCAAAGCAGCCTGATTTCGTCACCTGTCCTTAGGTACCCAGATTTTTCTAAACCTTTTACGTTGGTTACAGATGCTAGTGACATAGGTCTAGGTGCTGCATTACTTCAAACAGAAGGTCACAGAGATCACGCAATAGCTTATGCTAGCCGTACTTTATCTAAAGAAGAGAAAAATTATAGTGCAACAGAACGAGAAGCCTTGGCAGTTGTTTGGGCACTTAAACATTTCAAGGATACAATTTATAATTACCCAGTTCATGTTCTTACAGATCACCAACCATTAATTCCCTTGTTCAAAAATAAGAATCCAGTTGGAAAGTTTGCTAGATATTTGCTCACAATTCAAGAATTCAATCCCACATTTGGATATATTCCAGGAAAGCAAAATGTTGTAGCCGATGCGTTTTCTCGACACGTAGCTGCGATTCAGTTAAATTACCCAGCATTAGATGCTACAGTAGTAGAAACGGAACAAAGACAAGACCCCATATGGGCACCTGTCATTAAATTTTTGACTAAGCAAGACACTCGCCCGATTCATAAACCACCAGTACCATTGAAAGAACTAGTTATGTTGGACAATTTACTGTGTAGAGTAGTAAAGCTAGGGACAGCCCCGAGGAAATGTTGTCAGTTAGTTGTTCCAGCTGTCTTGGTACCAACTGTGTTAAAAATTATCCATGATGCTCCTGCAAGTGCACATCCAGGAAAGGATCGTACACTCCAACAAGGTCGATTGAAATATTTTTGGCCAAAAATGGCTAAGGAGATTGCTCATTATGTTGACAGATGTTTAACTTGTTTACAGCACAAGGGACATGTTTCAGGACCTAATCCAATTCAGGTGTACCCAGCAACTAAAGCTCCTTGGGAACGAATATCGATGGATTTATTGACAAATTTTGCGGAAACAGAGAAAGGGAACAAACATTTGCTTGTAATGGTCGATAATTTTTCACGGTTTTGCGAACTAGTTCCTATCCCGAACAAAACAGCAGAAACCATAGCCAGCGCATTCCATGACCAAATAATTTGTAGATATAGTATGCCTAAAGTAATCCTTTCAGATAATGGTCCGGAATTCAGTAATAGTATTCTAACTAGCTTGTGTGATTTATATAACATCAAAAAATGTAGCATCATGCCTTATCATCCGGCAAGTAATGGACTAGCTGAACGTACTAACAGGAAAGTGTTAGATGCCTTGAGAGTCACGTTGAATTTTGATAACAACAATTGGGATGATTTTATACCCTTAATTCAGTGTGCTATAAATTCTTCAATTAATGTTTCTACTGGTGACACACCTCACGCTATTCTTTATGGTACAGATAAGATCCTCCCTAATGAATTGATTAACGTACCTCCTACTCCCTTATATAACGTAGATGATTTTGTTCAAGTGAAGCGTAGACAAATGCAATTAGTATTCAAGAAAATACGAGAACAACTGTCCAAAGCAACAGCCGAGTTCACTCTAGCAAGGAATGCACGAGCTAAACCCAATAAAATAACTATTGGATCTGTAGTAATGATACTTAACCAACACAGGTCTGGTCCTATGTACAAGTTAACTAAGAAATTTTTGGGTCCATATAAGGTAATCGAGCTTATTAAAGGTAACAAATACAGACTTAAGAACTTGTTAACAGGAGAGTATATAAATGAACATTTAGACCACATGAAGTTAGCTAAAATGACTGTTGACGAGACTGATGAGGAAGATGACAATGAACTTACCCAGACAGATACTCCTACTCGGACACCACCTCCTGTGGTTGACAGACCACTGGATGTTCAGCAACCCCATACTAGCAATTATAATCTTAGATCTAGACCTCTCGTTTCAACCGTGCACTCACCACATGTCCATTGGCTAGATGTTAACGAGGATATCTCTCAAGATGATAGTTTGTCGCATGAAGTTTCACCTGTTCCGGACCTTCAGTCAGAGCCAGAGTTGTATAGTGCTCTGGATGAGCTAGGTGTAGATATCCGCAGAATTTATAATTGATTGCACTCTGTAGTTATTCTGTTTGTTTTGAAAAAAAAAAAAAAAAAAAAAAACTCAATTGCAGTATTTCTACCACATGTGTCTTATTATTACCATTATATATAATGTATAGTTTTTCTCAACTTTATTTTGTTATGAATTAGATGCCATTGTCAAGTCTACTACCATTTGTATTTTTACAGTGCTTGTCATAAGAGTTATTATTGTTCTAGCAACCACATTGTGGCCAGTGAATCCTGACTGCTATCACGCAGATGTTAGTCTTCTTGATCCAGGTCTTGTATATGCTTGTAAATATATTGCACATTATATATATTGTACATTGGTCTTGTAAATATATTGTATATTTCGAAAAAAAAAAAAAAAAAAATTATCTATCTTGAAATTCAATTGTGGTTGTTAGGTCAGAACTTTGTTCCATTAATGTAATAATTGTTTAATTTTGTATGGTTTTCAAGCACATGCCATTGACACATGTTAATAATTTTGTTTAGGCAATACCTTGAGTTGTATTGTTCATATCTGATCAGTAGACATACACATGTTCTTAATACTCTGATTTAATCAAAGCATTGTTACCATGATTTTCACCTATTATGATGAATTTTTTTTTTTTGGTGCATATATGCCGAGTTGTTTGTATTACGCACACCTGATCTTCTTTCAATGTTTTATTATGCAAATTTCACATGTAAGCCATTATTGTATGCCACCGAGGTCCTTTCAGTATCATTGTAACTATATAGCTAGCCAGAGCTTGTCGACAAGGGACGTCGACTTGGTAGCGTGTCCGAGCGGTGTTATACTCAAAATTCTGTCAGTTGAAATGTAACCAATCACAGGCAAGTAGGCCTCTGACGTCATGCCAGACAGAGGAGCATCAGCGATGCTCCCAGCAGCCTCAGTTATCCTCACAGACCCAGAGTAGGTGGACCTCGGCTGGCCAGTTATACACCTGTTTGCCTCACTCAATAAATATATACAGAAGCGACTACTGTGTCTACATTCAACCCGAACAAGGCAAACGAATACCCGGCCGCTCCCGGAATACTTGTCACTAGTCAGACCTTTTGAAGGTGCTTAGTCCAGGACGTTTGAACATATGTTACCACAATGTGCCATCATGTTCAGAGTTTATCCTAAAGTTATTTGTTGACCAGACCACACAGTAGAAGGTGAAGGGACGACGACGTTTCGGTCCGTCCTGGACCATTCTAAAGTCGATTGTATCGCACAATCGACTTGAGAATGGTCCAGGACGGACCGAAACGTCGTCGTCCCTTCACCTTCTAGTGTGTGGTCTGGTCAACATACTTCAGCCACGTTATTGTTACTCATCGCCTGCCTAAAGGTATTTTTCCCGGCCACGAACAGTTACATAGAGTTTTACTATACGAGAAAGTTCACTGTAAACTCGTGTTGGGGGGCCTGCCAGGGCAGACTGCAGTAAACATATCTCCCATCAACGTGGAGTACAATGGCAGATATTTCCAATGGTTAACCTTTAGAGATTAAACAATTTAAATGTTTAACCTAGAGGTTAAACATTTAACCTCTAATCTGCTGAAGAAAGGCATTTGTAGAGATCATACTAGTATTTCCTATTTATAATTTACGACTTTACTAATGATTTTAAGTAAAGTTCAAAATTTTTTAGATTAAAAATACACCGTATCAGCCAAGAATAAATGTACACACACAGGAAATACTTGGATAAAATCCGTAATTATTTCTCAGGCGAGTTATGGCTTACCCTGCTGGCGAGCATCTGTGTCTGGGGCGTGACTCAATGGCTGCTGCAGAAGGCATGGGCGAGGGTGTCTGGGGGTAGCAGTCTGACTCTGGGCGCGGCTCTCATGTACAGCTGGGGCGCCATCTTGGGTTACCCGCCCCCTCACCTTCCTCACAACATCACTGGAAAGGTAGGCATTGATTAATAATTACAAATCAGTATGTCAATGTAGTTATAAGAAATCAGAATGATAGAAGAGTTCTATAATTGTGAATTGGTAGAAGAATTTAATCCTTGCATCAGGAACTTTCTTTAGCCACGACCGAGAAGAAGTGGTTTTGGCTGATGAAAGATCCTGTTGCTAGGACTTCCGAGTCTTCCCAACCACTTTGAGTGGTCGGTACAGCGACGGCCTCGCTTCTTGCAAGTCGGCGTTCGATCCCCCGATGGTCCAAGTGGTTGGGGCACCGTTCATTCCCTCCGTCCTATTCCACATCCTTGTCCTCTTATCCCTTTCAAGTTGAGTACGGTCTAGTATTGGCTTAGCGTTTCCTTTTGCTGATTATCTTACTTTCCTCCATTACACTCCTATAACTGTTGGTGTCCCAACCACTTGGGCTGGACGGTAGAGCGACGGCCTCGCTTCATGCAGGTCGGCGTTCAATCCCCTACTGTCCAAGTGGTTAGGCACCATTTCTTCCCCCCCCCCGTCTTATCCCAAATCCTTATCCTGATCCCTTCCAAGTGCTATATAGTCGTAATGGCTTGACCCTTTCCCCCCTCACAATTCCTTCCTATAATTGTTTTTGTTCCAACACACACTTTTCGCAATAGTGTAAAATGCATAATATATAATTCAGAAATCATTTGGTTATTACAAATGTTAGTAATAACTTTACTTTCTGACGATTATTCTCTGCATGTTTTGACGGTGTATGGGGAGGCTAACGAAGGCAATTCCTCGTAATGCAATGATTCTCAAATCCTTTGTATCTTGTCACATCAGAGTTTAAAATTATGGACGGAAGTAGCTATAGGAACTGATGGATTGATAGCTTCCTGGCTACGTATGTGGTGTGGGTGGAGGGTATGACAACCTACCCATATTTTTATTCCATAAACATGCCGTGTCTTACCTGCTCATATCCGCTGTACAAGTGCATACAGGTGTCGACAGGGCAGCGGATTCCTTATTCACATCTGCCCACGTCCCCAGGTGATGGTAGGGTGCTGGCTGGTGCTGTGTCTGACGATGACCTGCGCGTACAGCTCGTCACTGGTGTCCCACCTGGTAGTACAAGGCAAGTCTCCCCTCATCAACAGCATTCAGGAGCTGGTGGCGAAGAGCGGGTGGCGGTGGGGGACCCCTCGCATGACGGGCGCTCTGCTCATCTTCCTCAACACCAGTCAAGACCCTGCCGTACAGAAGCTGTATTACAACATGCAGGTGTGTGTGTAGTGGGGGGCAGATAGGTGTGTTTATTGAGACAGGCAGGCATGTGTAACTGGGCAGCCAGGCAGGGTGTGTGTGTGTGTGTGTGTGTGTGTGTGTGTGTGTGTGTGTGTGTGTGTGTGTGTGTGTGTGTGTGTGTGTGTGTGTGTGTGTGTGTTGTAATGGGAGGCAAGCAATTGATTATCAGGGCATTCATGGCCTTGCAGAGGAAAGCAGCATCATAATATTTAAATATCACTGACATGGGTTCTTCTATTACTTCAGTTCAATATATTTCCGTCACCAGGCCAATTCCACGATCCCCGTGTCCCCCCCCTTCACATGGCTCTTAATTAAATGTATAAACACCATGTACATCAACGCTACTGTGTGTGTGTGTGTACTCTCACGAAAACTGTGAACCTTTCCCTGGTCCGTCCTCGTGCCCTCCACAGGCCGACAGTATGGAGAAGGGGATGGAACTGGTCCTTAAGGGCGACTACGCCTTCATCTACAGCAAGTACTACTCCAGGACCCTGGTGGCCACCAATTACACAGACGAGTTCGGCTACACCCCCATCCATATTAGCAGCGAGGAGTACCCGCTTTTTGCTGGCAACGCCTGGGGATTCAGGTGGGCAACAGCTGGGGATTCGGGTGGGCAACAGTTGGGGATTCAGGTGGGCAACAGCTGGGGATTCGGGTGGGCAACAGCTGGGGATTCAGGTGGGCAACAGCTGGACAACGTCTGATTTCTCATATTATAATGAAAACTATACATTTTTAATTAGCTGACTCAAATTGTATTCATAATAGAGTCTTGGGGTCGTCCAAGTGCCGTATGATAACTTTTAGACTTCCAAGGATAGGTTTCAGCATCATAATGACTTTACGACTGACTTGGGACATGTTGGAGTTCCTTCTGTTCCTTTACCAACAGGCGGTTAACCTGTTAGTAAAACAGGTTAACTGCCTGTTAACCATTGTTTACCACCGTGGTTAACAGGGCTGTTACGTGACAACCGAAACGCCCTGTTCGAATCCCATAGTAAACTAGATATAAATATATATATGCCTAAATAGATAGCCCTGTATAAGAAGCTAAAACATACCCAGATTGACATTGTGCTAACCGAAGCATTAATATTAGGACTGTTAACCGACATGCAATAATGAGCCTAATACCAAATGTAAGAAAGGTTGACTTTTACCACTGTCGCAGAAACTGACAAATCAAACGTTGCATTTTGAGTTTTAACTTTCAAGGCATTTAGTAAGTTAAAAGTTTAGTAAGTTTCTATCAACTTGTGTACGCAAAATATGACACACAGTATAGTATGACAAGAGTACACACACACACACACACACACACACACACACACACACACACACACACACACACACACACACACACACACACACACACACACACACACACACAGTTTCTACCCCCCATTTAGGAGACGCGCCAGATTCAAACACCTGACCTGACATCCCCTCCCTCCTCCTACAGGACTGGGGCGCCATTCCGCCGGCTACTGAGCTTGTCGATACAACGATTGCTTGAAGCCGGGCTCATCACCTTCTGGATGAACGACGTCATCAGCGTCTACGTGAGGGAGGCCAGGACACAGAAGGTGGCCAGGGAGGCCCGCGGCCAGCAAGCCAGGCTCATGTATAAAGTAATGTGATTGGTTACGGATGGTTACGAGGGGGAGAGTGTGGCTTAGATGAGAGGGCCCAGGAGGGGTAGTTTTGATGTAAGGGGGCCCCAGGAGGGGGTAGTTTTAATGCAAGGGGAGCCCCCAGGAGGGGGGTAGTTTTGATGCAAGGGGGCCCAGGAGGGGGGGGGGGGTAGTTTTGATGCAAGGGGGCCCAGGAGGGGGGGGGGTAGTTTTAATGCAAGGGGGCCCCAGGAGAAGGGGGGGGGGTAGTTTTGATGCAAAGGGGCCCAGGAGGGGGGGGTAGTTTTGATGCAAGGGGGCCCAGGAGGGGGGGGGGTAGTTTTAATGCAAGGGGGCTCCAGGAGAAGGGGGGGGGGTAGTTTTGATGCAAAGGGGCCCAGGAGGGGGGGGGGTAGTTTTGATGCAAGGGGGCCCAGGAGGGGGGGGGTAGTTTTGATGCAAGGGGCCCCAGGAGGGGGTAGTTTTGATGCAAGGGGCCCAGGAGGAGGGGTAGTTTTGATGCAAGGGGCCCCAGGAGGGGGTAGTTTTGATGCAAGGGGGCCCAGGAGGGGGTAGTTTTGATGCAAGGGGGCCCAGGAGGGGGGGGTAGTTTTGATGCAAGGTGGCCCCTGGAGGGGGTAGTTTTGATTCAAGGGGGCCCAGGAGAGGTAGTTTTGATGCAAGGGGGCCCAGGAGGGGGGGGGGTAGTTTTGATGCAAGGGGGCCCAGGAGAGGTAGTTTTGATGCAAGGGGGCCCAGGAGGGGGTAGTTTTGATGCAAGGGACCCTAGGAGGGGGTAGTTTTGATGCAAGGGGCCCCAGGAGGGGTAGTTTTGATGCAAGGTGGCCCCAGGAGGGGGGTAGTTTTGATGCAAGGGGCCCCAGGAAGGGATAGTTTTGATGCAAGGTGGCCCCAGGAGGGGGTAGTTTTGATGCAAGGGGCCCCAGGAGGGGGTAGTTTTGATGCAAGGTGGCCCCAGGAGGGGGTAGTTTTGTTGCAAGGGGCCCCAGGAGGGGGGGGGGTAGTTTTGATGCAAGGGGCCCCAGGAGGGGTAGTTTTGATGCAAGGGGGCCCTAGGAGGGGATAGTTTTGATGCAAGGTGGCCCCAGGAGGGGGTAGTTTTGATGCAAGGGGCCCCAGGAGGGGTAGTTTTGATGCAAGGGGCCCCAGGAGGGGTAGTTTTGATGCAAGAGGCCCCCAGGAGGGGGGTAGTTTTGATGCAAGGGGCCCCAGGAGGGGTAGTTTTGATGCAAGGGGCCCCCAGGAGGGGGGTAGTTTTGATGCAAGGGCCCAGGTGGAAGGTTGCTTTTATTATGAGTTGACACTGTTTTATATGCATGTTTTAAGTAGCATGCAGGCTTACATATATACATTGATATATAAATGACCTAGAACAGATGTTTCATATTAACTGACCATTCTCAAGTTACACCACCAAGTCTATGATCACGCAATTCCTCCCCCAGGGGGCTGAGGGCAAGGTGGTCCTGGGTCTGGTTCACCTTCAAGTCACCTTCTACCTCCTCCTCTTCAGCTACAGCCTCGGCCTCTTCATCTTCCTCCTCGAGCTGCTCCTCAAGTGGTAACCAATATCTCGCAAGTGGTTTTACCAAAGGGAGGGAACCATGACAAGATATTCTTGGTAGCAATGTCCTGGCGAAACTTGGACATAAGTATATTTCGTAAGACACATTATGAACACATTAGCTCAGTCGATTAAGGCAGCGTCTGGGATGCTCTCGGACGTAAGTTCGAATCCTCGTCACGGCCCTTGTGGATTTGTTCATTGTATATTTCGTAAGCTTCCTCGCTGATGTAGTTATTTGTTTACTTGTGTAGGAATCTCTGTAAGGGAAAATGCCTAGCCTAGGCGGATACGCATGCGCGCTTTGCGTATACAGTAATTCGAAAAATAGTAATAATTACAAGCATTCCCTATTACCTAGATCACCTCAAGTCTAGTTCGGGGTGTTACAAATTTCACGAACAGCAAACGTAACAAAATAAATATTATTAGAATGCACCTGCTTATATAGACATTATATTGCTAGCATTAATATTTTCCAGTGATCCCCCTGCCGCAATATTTAGCTTCTTTAGGCACGTAACCTCCTGCATATAGCAACTATGTTCGATTTGCCAGCAATAAAAACAATATGAATAGTCTGCCTTTTTGTTAATGTTCTCCCTAGGAGGCTTGCTGCAATGTATATATATATATAAAGACATTTTTCTTCTCACACTTTACCTTGGGAGCAAGGTAAAGTGTGTGTCTTGGGGAGGGGGGGGGGGGGGGGGGGGTCCGGAAGTTGTTAACCCCCCCCCCCCCACACTACACAACGGCCACCTTGAGTATGTCTTGGGGGGTATACATATCCGACTATCAGACAATCCGAACTGACAGATTCATGCCCCTAATATATGTATATTGAACTCTAGGTGTATACAATGTATGAATACAACGTGTGCACGTGTGTGTATATATATATATATATATATATATATATATATATATATATATATATATATATATATATATATATATATATATATATATATATTCATGCCAGCATGCCGTCACAGGCACTGTGATGGCAGGAAAGCCTAAACTCTCTCACCACAAGTTGAAATTGTCACCTTAACCTTTTATCCCTGCTGTTAACTTCCTCTAATGGTAATCAACTCTTGGAACGTTCAATGAAAAAAATTACTTTAACTTTACAGGTGTCTGATAATACATATTTTTTTTTTGTAACTTGAAGATACTTTTTGAAGAGCACGAACGTATGCAGTGAACATACTCTGTTGGCTGGCGGAGATGGGGGTACTAGGCTGGGGCATGCGCCACCCCCAACAGAATATAAATTTGCCCTTACCTGTACAAAATTGTATATTCCCCCCCCCCCCCAAAGAAAACCACATTCAAATCACTTTTATTAGAAGTATTATGAAACAGTATTGTCCACAAAATATCCTTGACAAATTGACTTTCGCTATGAGTGTATGGATAGATTGATTCATCCTTGAGTGTATAGATTCATCATCCTTGAGTGTATAGATTCATCATCCTTGAGTGTATAGATTCATCATCCTTGAGTGTATAGATTCATCATCCTTGAGTGTATAGATTCATCATCCTTAGAGTGTATGGATAGATTCAAGATCCCTTGGGGTTTTGTTGTCCTTAAATCTTCCCCCGCGGTTTTATTGATCACGTGGTGATCAATATTGATCACCAATATTGATTAAGTTATCAATATTTATTGATAACTTAATCTCACCTAATGTTTGAGTTGACTGTTGCACTGTGTTAAAGAGCTCCATGGATGAATTAATTACCTGAGCACATAATTAATATGCACGTGTAATTAGAGGATCCCTAAAGGATAATTTAGGGGATCCTTCTTCCAAAACTTAGGTTTTATCAATTTAGTTTTACAAGTAAAAGAAAGCCTAGCGTTCCTGCAAAATTTAAAAATAAAAATAAAAAATTATCATAAGGCAGCGACATGTCCTAAAGATTACATAGCCCTGTGTCACAGTACAAAATTTCCCAGATCTAATGCAGGATGCAAGAGAAATCATACAACACACTACAGTTGGATTTTGAATGTTGATCCTTGCAACAGATCAAGATACCGACCCCCAGAGCACACACTTCATGATATAATATCTCGCTTGAAGAATATTTATACAGAACTCCGTTTTATAATTTTTCTCCTTCACTGGATTTTTATTATTTTGCATCCAATAATCCGGTTACTAATCAAGAAGTTACGTTTTACTTATGGAATAAAACCATTTACTCCGGAAAGGGTGGCAATATAAATAAACTGAGATGGGTACGGAGGCTGTTATAATTGCACAAAGTAATGACTGCAAAGTCAGTAAAATAATAATAGAAGAAAAACAGAAATTATTCATTCAATAGTGTTGCCTCCATAGCTTAGTCAACACCGACGACAACTCGACTATTATAATCAAGTTACTACTTAATAGCTCCATTTGCAGTAACTAAACATAAACATACTGTACTACACTTACTAAATGACGGTCTGGAGACGGGGACGTCACAAGGAACCTTCAATAATAAGCAAGGAAGCTATAGTCAACAGGACAGCGGCGTCCCCCAGGCCGTCGCCATGTTTACCTGCCCGCCTCTCGCACAGGGTTACCAGATCCAAATTGCGGAAAGTAGCGAGCTGACGGCCAAAAAGTAGCGAATTTGTAATAAGAGTAGCCCAATTTTTTTTTAGTGAATGATATGGGTTTCAAAGTAATATATTTTGATACATTGAATATAGTACACGATGTTAATTGTTTTATTAATATTATTTCTGCACATACACATATTATAATAATATATGTTTACAAGAAAGACTGCTACCAAAATTTTTCCGAGCTGTTTTCTTTACCGTGTATGTTGTAATAAACTATTCCTATATTTACAGTTGTTTCTCCCTGTGAAGATTATTAAACAATGGTGATTATAAGGGCGCGGAAGTTCAGCCTGGCCAGGGCCGCCAGCAGCCCTTGGGCCCGCCCCGGCAGCACCCAGTCTTTAATTTGGTACCTTTGTGGCACCTTTGTGGGACCTTGGTATAAGCCTAACATGTATATATACACACTGGCTGCCTGTCCCCCTACACAATGATTTATTATTACCTATTATTTTATCGTTTAATTTAAATATTAAATAAAATAATTTATTTAATTATTATAGTAAGTACTTAATAATTTAATAATAAGTAGTAAGTACATAAAAATAATTAAAAAGTACAGTTTAGTCATAGGAGATTCCTAGATTGGAATTCACTACCAAATTTCGATATATCCAAGTATTTTTAGTGTGAAATGCTGTTATTATATGCATAAATTGTTGTTTTAATAATATTACGCTTAACCATTTAGGCTGGACGGTAGAGCGACGGTCTCCTTTCCTACAGGTCCGCGTTCAATCCCCGACCGCCCAAGAAGTTGGGCACCATTCCTTTCCCCCGTTCCATCCCAAATCCGTATCCTGATCCCTTCCGAGTGCTATATAGTCGTAATGACTTGGCGCTTTCACTTGATAGTTCCCCCACCCCTCCTGAATAATATTACGAGAGCAGTATTTACGAGCTATTCATGCCCGTGCCACCTCTTGGGTGGCTTAATCTTCATCAATCGAGAGCAGTACGTCCTAACCAGACGTTATATGATGATATGATGAACAGTTGATAAATAAAAGTAATTGCGGAATTCCAGTTATCTAATACTTATCATAAATGGTAAACCTTATCATAAGCCAAGAGATTTGTAGATCAGTGTTTAAAAGGGAATTCGGAAGTAATAATAACAGCTGATGCCATCTGTCGGCAGAAGAGAACACTATCAACTGGCTGGTCAACAGTGGCCATAAGATACAGCTTACGCCATCTGTTGACATCAAATTACACTTATAACAAATTACCCTGCAAAATACAACTAACGCCATCTCTTTTTTTTCCAACGCACTATAAATAGCCAAACAGCAACCCATAAGGTGGGTTGTTGTGCTCGGGTAGGAGGTTCCAAGCTCCGCCCACAGATGGTATGGGGTGCATAATAAATGGCATATCATGGGTAGATATTCTTTGTTGACATTCACACAACAGCCAATCTTAGGAAGGGATTAGCTAAAGGCTCCATCCACTTAATAAATCATCTTTATTCAGGACACCGTCCTTGCTTATGACATTCTGCTTCAACTTTAATCTACCTAAAAAGTGAAATGTTAAGTATTTAAAAGTATTAATATAGTGATAATTAAATACTGCAGGATGTAACGGGTGTTACGGAAACATGGGCTGGCTACCTAACTAGTGACGTCATCAGAGGGTGTTGCCTCACACAAATAATATCAGCGATACAATGCCTCCGCCCTCTTATTGGTCTACATTATTCAGTTAGATGGAAATTTCTGTCTTGTATAAAACAGAAATTGTTGTTCTTTTGTACAACAACAACAAGGTTATTGAGCAAAAGGACGTATTTCTTATTTTGCATTTTATTCATATAAGCGTTGGCATTCCCCGCAACAGCCAATCACAGGAAGGTATTTGTTGGAAACTCTGCCTCAACAAAGTTGATTCCTAATAAACTCTAACAATAAATTCGTTTAATAAACGAGTATTTAGGGTCAAGCTACAAATGAACATTATAGGATAACGGTGTTTAGCTTGCAGCTTCGTTAGACAGAATCCCTGGTCTTAATTTTAAAAATAAAGAACTAGAAAGCGTATTTTATTGCTAACTTTTCGAGAAATGAATCCCAGTCTCATATTTGCGAACGTTTATGCATTGATTTTTTGGCTTAAGTTCTTATCATAATCCCTTTTGCAATCTCAACACCAACTGGCTCGTATCTTGTAACTATCTTCGTTACTTAGCCTCAAAACCTTACATTTGTCTTACATATTCTCAACAGTAGATAAAAGTAATTGCAGAATTCTAGTTACCTAATACATGGTTTCATGGTATAAAACCTTATTATAAGCTACCAGACGTATAGATCAGTGTTTAAAGTAATAATAATATATTGTTGTTGTGCTCGGGTAAGAGGTCTCAAGCTCCGCCCACAAGATGATATGGGGTGCAAAATAAATAAAATTATGGCATATCATTGGTAGAAACTCTTTGTTGACATTCACACAACAGCCAACCACAGGAGGGGATCAGCTATAGGTGCCATCCACTTAGTAAATCAACTTAGTTCGGCCCACCAGTCCTGCTTATGGAATTCTGCTTTAACTTTAATTTACCCAGAAAAGTGAAGTGTTAATTATTTAAAGTGTTAATAAAATGATGATTAAATATTGCAGGATATAACAGATGTTATATAAAAATGGGCTGGCTACCTAACTTGTGACGTAATTATTGGGGGTTGCCTTGACACAAATAATGATACACTGCTCTGCCCTCTTATTCCAGTAAATTATTCAGTTAGATGGAGATTTCTGTCAGGTGCAAAACAGAAATTGTTGTTCTTTTTCACAACAACCTTGTTGTTGTGCACAATGACCTATTTCTTAGTTTAAATTTTATTCATAAAAAGAGTGTTGGTATTCCCCGCAACAGCCAATCACAGGAAGGTATTTCTGGAAGCTCGGCCTCCTTATGGACTCAGCACATCGCTCTAGCTCATGGCTCTCTGTTTCATCTCTTGTATATACAAACTATGACTTTTTTCGATTACTTTAATATGAGATATAAAAGTTTTTACACAAAATGGCTAAATTCTGCCATTAAATGGACTTTGTCTGGTATACATACAAACATACACCAATTTATTACCATTCATCCATTATTAATTTCAAATGTAATGTATACTGTCTAGTTTTTTCCTCTCGCCATTACTTGGTGCAATATTTGAAAGTTGTCTATTTATTTATCGATCTATCTATTATCTTGTATTTATATTTACAAGTTTCTGTGCTTGGAAGAAAACTGCATTGAATTGGGACTAATTTATTAAATAATATTATTTAGTATTAATTAATATTTACAATTATTATTAATTACAATTATTTATAGCTTAGTTACTTTCATGTAACTCGCAATCGTACATTCTTAACGATGATTGATTAACACATTTGTCAATCACACTGCACACATTTGTGAAGTGTGAATTTAATCCTTAAGTAAATAATAATCACAGTCTTAGTTAATTATGGGTTAAATGAGTCACAGAAGTTAACTAAGCTATGTGTACTAAGGCTACTACCAGAAGTGGAATGGTTGCTAAGTGAATGCCAGAAGGAGGAGTTTATTGGACCGTAAGTGGAAGATTTTTTTTGGAGTGACTGATCTTTGTGGTCGTGAAAGGATATACTCTGCGTGCTGTGCTCGCATTTAAATCGTCAGTCTGTGGCTGCTATCGCGGGGTGCTTGTTTGTGTTGCATCTAATCCTAAATAATCATAATTAAGTTTCTTAACATTAATAGCCCAAATTAGCACATCTTGCTTTTAAATTAGCCCAAAAAGTAGCAAGTAGCGAAATTAAAAATTTGGGAACGCGGGGCTCTCAAAAGTAGCCCAATTCGCTATTTGTAGCCCAATCTGGCAACACTGCTCCCGCAAGGGACTGACTGGCGTGATATGAGTATCTGGCTCGAAGCTTCGAAATGCAATCTCCTGTTCATAAGTCTTGCTCGACGAAGCCGTGCAGAAACTAGTCCTCGTTAATATAGCAGTCCGTCCTTGTCAACAAAGGCCAAATGCTCGTTAATACAGCCGCCGAACAGTTTGTTTATGAATGAAAACTTCATGCGATTCACAACTGATGACGAATGTTTTTTCTCGAGCAAGTTCGCGTTCTCTGATCGAATCGCTCCTCCGTAAATGCTTCATCCTCGGACTGCAAATTCCAATAATTGCTAAACAGAACCTAAGTTAGGTCTAACTATTCAAAACATTTTAGCAAGTAATACTATTATCATATACTTGAGAACACACAAAACTTTTAACAGAGTACGTTAAAAATGATGAATTTGTCTTTTAAGTTTGGCCGCAGCCTGGACGAGCGTAGCCTAAGGGCAGATTAATTTACACCGGAGAATTTATGGATATACAGTTCGGTAAAATTAACGAATGTGTGTTTTGGAATCGGGGGTGTAGCTTGTCCGAGCATAGCCTAAGGATGGGCTGCAAGTTTTACACACGAGAGGTCACGTTCTCTAATAGTTCTCATTTGTACTAGTCAAATGAAAGAGAAAAGAAAACTGTTAACTGAGGATATAATTACTTATCAAAAGACGACACCAAGTCTGTTAGACTATTTAGCTTTAGCCGAGGGGAAGTAGATAGGAATATGTCTTTAACTGCTGTTCATAATCTCACATTTTATCATTTCTTTGTACAAACAAAAACTGAAAATGTTGCTTTCGTTGATTTCGGCACATGGCAAGGAATGAAATGTAAGAGAAATTCAATGTACAGGATCTTTTTTTCTATATTAAATAATATACAATATAAAGATCATATATATATATACATCAATTTACAAGAGAAAATACATAATATATAGTTGTAAAGAATATCTGAATATGAATATAGACAGGCAGATTTAGGATTGTAAGGATATAGGAGATTCAATTAAATAGGTACATACTTGATTATACAGTAGTGCAAGTCTAAAATTTGTCAGTTTCAATTTCAATATTATAGTTCTCAAGTGAAAGTTTGAAAGTTTTGTCACAAGAGTTTACAGATTGACTAATTTGGTAATAGCTCCTCTGTCTTAGTACCTTATTGCTAATATGGTATGTTGTCAGCCAAATGTGACTATTGCTTAGCCTAATGTGATCTTTTATCTGGCCAACTGTGTCTATTGCTTAGCCTAATGTGGTCTGTTGTCTAGCCAAATGTATCTATTGCTTAGCCTAATGTGGTATGTTGTCAGCCAACTGTGTCTATTGCTTAGTCTAATATGGTATGTTGTCTAGCCAAATGTGTCTATTGCTTAGCCGAATGTGGTCTGTTGTCTAGCCAAATGTCTACTGCTTAGTCTATTATGGTATGTTGTCAGCAAAATGTGTCTATTGCTTAGCCTATTGTGGTCTTTTATCTAGCCAACTGTGTCTATTGCTTAGCCTAATGTGGTCTATTGTCTGAACTAATGTAATTTGTAATTGTTATCTAGTCTTATATGTTTACTGACTAGCATAATTTCTGTTATCTAGCCAAATGTGACTGTTATCTAGCTTAATGTAATGTTACTGCTGTCTAGCCTAATGTGGTTGTTGTCTATTGTGGCTATTGTCTATCCAGATATGGTTTGTTTAGCCTAATGCATTAACGTACTGTATATCGTTGTATGATTGTTTTTATAGTGTGTGTGTATACTCACCTAGGTTGTGCTTGCTGAGGTTGAGCTCTGGCTCTTAGGTCTGGCCTCTTAACTGTCAATCAACTGGTGTACAGGTTCCTGAGCCTATTAGGCTCTATCATATTTTAATTTGAAACTGTATAGAGTCTGCGTCCACCACATCACTTCCTGATGCATTACATTTCCCAATTATTCTGACACTAAAAATGTTATTTCTCAATGGCTCATCTGGGTACTTAATTTCCACTTGTGTCCCCTTGTGCGTGTGACCCCGTGTTAAATAAATTGTCTTTATCTACCCTTTCAATTCCTCTTGAGAATCTTGTATGTGGTGATCTTGTCTCCCTTAACTCTTCTTTCTTCAAGTGACGTGCGGTTCCCATAGTCTCTCTTCTCAGCTCATACCCCTCAGCTCGGGTACTAGTCTGGTGGCATACTTCTGAACCTTCTTCAATTTAGTGGTGTGTGTGTGTGTGTGTGTGTGTGTGTGTGTGTGTGTGTGTGTGTGTGTGTGTGTGTGTGTGTGTGTTCGAACATGTATCTCCCCACAATAATCATTAAAAACAGTCTCAGTAAAACAGGGCAATAAAATCAATGAATAATATCACCAAATTTTTATTACAAAATACTCACGACATAAACACTAACACACACACACAGCCATTGGCATCACGAAATATATAGAAAATATCAAATTTAGAAACCTCGGTATTGTACAAGATGTTAATATCAAGGTACAATTGTCTTTACAATAATACAGTGAAGGCTCGGAGGAAGTCAAGATGCGGCTCGGTACGTATTAAAGATTACACTTCATTAAAATGACAAGGGGAAAATTTCAATGGAAAGTAATATACTTTCCACCTATGTGCGCTCCCAGAAGTACAATTCAAAACGATGTAAAGAGGCAAAAGATAAAGCAATGCACTTTCTTGTCACTGCATATGATAGACCCCAACCATGTCTCACCATCACTGTTTGTGATACAGTTCCTTCTATGTGTCACCATCACTGCATGTGATACAGTTTCTTCTGTCTCACCATCACTGCATGTGATACAGTTTCTTCTGTGTCACCATCACTACATGTGATTCAGTCCCCTGCCATGTCTCACCATCACTGCATGTAATACAGTTCCTTCTATGTGTCACCATCACTGAAAGTAATACAGTTTCTTCCATGTGTCACCATCACTGCATGTAATACAGCCCCTTCCATATTCAGTATCATTATCACTGCGTGTCAACAGTTCCATAAACCTTCTATGATCAATAAGAAATATATTTTACAAATACTCTACTTAAAACAAATAAATTATCAATGTCAATATCTGCAATACAGATTCCACAATTCCTAAACTTGCATCTGAGGGTTTATATACAACTTTGCATCAGTTGAAATGTATGTACAGTACAGTAGGTTTAGCTAGACAGACGAAGATAGGTAGCTATAACGACTTAGTCCTTGAAAACAAAACATAAAAGAATCACTTTATTACGGCATAGGCTTATTATATATAACCTACACACATATATAACTGATTATAGCACCAACTAATGGTTAGAAGAGCTTAAACAAACCACAGATGTCTCCAATCTGTGGTTTGTGGGGCTCTACTAAGCTTCGCGGAGCGGAAGAAGCCGATGTTTAATGTAGATGTCTTTGGAGCCTGCCCACACACAGGTGTCTCCGTGCTGTGGTGGGCAGGGTCCAGAGTCTAGTCATGCCCACACAGGTGTCTGCAGGCTGTGTTGGGCAAGGTACAGTGGTTTAGACCTGCCCACACAGGTGTTTCCGGGCTGTGGTGGGCAAGGTCCTGTAGTCTAAACCTGCCCACACAGGTGTCTGCAGGCTGTGGTAGGTAGGGCCCAATGGACTAGACCTGCCCACACAGGTGTCTCCAGGCTGTGGTGGGCAGGTTCCAATGGTCCAGACCACCTGTCTATCAAGCGCTGATGTAAGCAGGTGGATGGTAACTGGAAAATGACGAGAGCGTTAAGAGGCGCTCACTTACCAGCATTAGACTTGCATGAGATATGGCTAATAATGCCGTGAATTTAGCCATGAGCTACTTGGAAGAACAATGACCAAAATATTTCATCTTCTCGAGAGCACAGCTAATAGTCTCAAAGTTGGCAGGGCCAAAACTGACGGGGGTTTGTTGTTTTAGGGACGTTGCTGTGAGAGCCACGATTGCCGAAGAGTGGTCAGCAAAGTGGCGGGACCTGAGGGGAAATCCATCACACCACCGACGTCTCGAGAGCGTGGTTGGTGTGCGCTTGAACCCTTGAGTGCTGAGGCGTGGGTTGCGGGCTGGGTCTGAGGGAGAGGGAGGTCTCCAGGATGATTGTGCTCTTGGTGCTTTTTCTCCGGTGCGTGGCAGGGTATCCTAGCTGCCTCATGCGGTACTGGCGCCATCGCTTCCGAAGAAGCTCCTGCACCTCGCCGTTCAGAAAGCAGTACAGCACCGATACGAACACACCCTGTAGGGTATGGATATATTATAATGTGTTAACACTAAAGTAGAACACACACCCTATGCATGGATGATACACCATGAATCAACACTAATTTTAGTGTATAAAACTCCACCAATCCGTTTAGGAATACAAACCACATTCAAGGTACGGAAGGTAGAAATAGCCTCTGCTACTCTATCCTTTTGAGATGTATTCTATTATCTCAATAAACGTACTTGAACTTGAACACATGCAAGGTCATTAAATATGTATTATGCCCCAGCAAGTGATCAATGTCTCTCAACTAACAGCTGGAGGCCAACTCAGATACTGAAGGATGACGACATCTGGAGTAATTTGTCACTCCAAGACCCACCCGCACGTGAGGACTGGAAGAAGCCACCCGCTAGGGCGGGACTCACCTGGGAGGACTGAAGGAGAGCGTTGGTGAGCATGTAGGCGCCCTCGAGGTCACCCTTGCCAGGGTTAACAGCAAAGAGCAGGTTGGTGATCCCCAGCAGGGGAAAGAGCACAGCCGTCGCCTTGATCGCCTTCCTGTGTGTGTGTGTGTGCAAGCAAGCAAGCAAGCAAGTGAGACACATCAATGAAATCAGTGTTGTGAGATCACTTATTACAAAGAGTAATATCTCCAACCCGCGACACAGTCATCACCAGGTCGTCCCTTTACCCACTTAACCAACAACTCCCACACACAAAACTCTTTAGCTGATGTCAATTCTCTTGTTGATATAAAAGCAGCTAAACATTGACTACCTCGAGTTACTGGAATATGATACAATGGAAAATGTTACCAATGGGCTGACCTGACTTGCGTGGTCTCGACGGCATCACTGGCGCGTAGTTTGGTCACCAGGATCCTGATGATGTTGACCAGGAAGAGGAGGTTAATCTGCGGGTCACCACACCATGGGTAGCGGGGTTAATACCAACTACTACTCGAGGTTAATCTTCAAGAAAAGTGTATACAGGTATATACAGTTTAAGCTGGGAGAGCATGTCTAATAATGTCCTCAATTATATTTTAGACCACTAAAAATATCTATGATAAGATAAGCGAGAGAACCAAGTCATTGCTTTTTACTGCATAGCGTTCAAAAGGCGGGGCCAAGAGCTAGCACGCAAACCCAACAAATACAGTTAGGTGAGCACCACACGCGAACCTACTGCACACCTACTTAAGACATATTAGCTTCCACTTCATCTGGGGGAGAATATATATGCTTGTACAATGCTTTAAGAAAATTAAAACTGCCTTGAAATTTCTTTGGGGTAATCGGAGCAAGTTCTAATTAAATTAAATAGCTTTAATACACAGTTATATATTATATTATATTATATTATATATATATATATATATATATATATATATATATATATATATATATATATATATATATATATATATATATATATATTTTTTTTTTTTTATTAAATATGACCGAAAAAGTAAGATTAATAATTCTAACACGAATTTTCTCAATGTTTCTTATATTTTTTTCACTGTTGATGGTAACTGAAAAATCAATTCTCCAAAATTCATTTTTATTTAGACTAGAATTAAAAATGAAATTTGGAGAATTGATTTTTCAGTTACCATCAACAATGAAAAAAATATAAGAAACATTGAGAAAATTCGTGTTAGAATTATTAATCTTACTTTTTCGGTCATATTTAATAATATATGTCTACAGGAAAGACTGCTACCAAAATATATTAATATATATATATATATATATATATATATATATATATATATATATATATATATATATATATATATATATATATATATATATATATCGTACCTAGTAGCCAGAACGCACTTCTCAGCCTACTATGCAAGGCCCAATTTGCCTAATAAGCCAAGTTTTCATGAATTAATTGTTTTTCGACTACCTAACCTACCTAACCTAACCTAACCTAACTTTTTCTGCTACCTAACCTAACCTAACCTATAAGGATAGGTTAGGTTAGGTTAGGTAGGGTTGGTTAGGTTCGGTCATATATCTACGTTTATTTTAACTCCAATAAAAAAAAATTACTTCACACATAATGAAATGGGTAGCTTTATCATTTCATAAGAAAAAAATTAGAGAAAATATATTTATTCAGGAAAACTTGGCTTATTAGGCAAATCGGGCCATGCATTGTAGGCTGATAAGTGCGTTCTGGCTAATAGGTACGACATATATATATATATATATATATATATATATATATATATATATATATATATATATATATATATATATATATATATACATCAAACACTACCGAGCGAGACCCCTAAATAATATATTAATTAGATTTCCTTTGCTTTCACGTTTTTGTGTACACGGACAAATTCCTTTCGGAAACTCCTCATCACTTGCGTCAGAGGAAACGTTTTTGTGGAGGGCAAAAGTTTTCATTACCGAACTCAGACCCAAGAAGACTGTGAGTGGTCGGGTTATGGTTAATTAATGAAATGTGTGTGTGTCTGAAACGTCAGTAAATGGCTGGTGTGGCATTGTTTATCGAGTTCTTGGCATATTCTAGCTGGTCGTGTTTGTGTAAATTCGCTTTCCAGACTGTACTGTTGCGTGATGACCAGACCACACACTAGAAAGTGAAGGGACGACGACGTTTCGGTCCGTCCTGAACCATTCTCAAGTCGATACACACACAATCGGGTTGAGAATGGTCCAGGACGGACCGAAACGTCGCCGTCGCTTCACTTTCTAGTGTGTGGTCTGGTCAACATACTTCAGCCACGTTATTGTGACTCGTCTCCTGTGTGCTATCGCGTACTTACATGGTGTGCCACAAGACTTTCTCGCAGCGTGGCGAGTGAGTGTGGGCCTGGATCATCCCTTGATATACTGTACACACATATCTTCCAGGCACAGTAATCAGGAGAACTGTCAGAAAATTACTTGGCAAACACACGTTTCTGGACCACTACCTGGCAATGCTTACCTGGATAATCTCATGATGCAAATATTTCTTCCTGGAACGTTAATCGGGACTGTTGTTGTTCTTGATAATTACTCAGCAAGCATGCCCTCGTAAACATTACACAGATCTGCAACTCTATTTGCTCTGTACACCTTTCCCTCCATCCCTCCCTTCCCCTCTACTCTCTGTGTCGTGTCTCCCTGTGTATGTGTCTGTCTGTCTCTCTAACCCTGTCAGTCTGTCTATCAGTCTCTCTGACCCTGTCTGTCTGCCTGTCAGTCTCTCTGTCTATCTCCCTCTTTTTCTGGAACAGAGCTCTGGCAATCTCTACTCAAGATCACCACCTCACAAACACAGGAACAGATACGTTTTTCCTGTTTCCTTACAGTTTTTCATTTCCTTTACAGGAACATTAGTCAAGAGAGCTTCCCTGGATCCTATCGAGAGAAAGGTTACTTTCCAGAACATAGATATAACCTTCTTCCGGCTCCCGTGACCACAGCAATTCTACCTTCAGTTAAAGTGGAATAAAGAGCTGGATTTTGCAATAGTTCTGGAATGCATAGAGCATAGATTGGGACGAGATATTATCAGTGGCAGCTAATTTTAAGTAATGAAATATTAGATAGAACGTTAATAATAATAATAAAAAAGCATTTCTTCGTTAAATTATCTGAAAGGTTAAAGGTAGGGTAATTATGAGGAGAAAGCGCTTTGCCAGTGCGATTACATAGCACTTGGAAGGGATATGTGGACAAGGAACTGCGGTATGAGGTGAAGAAGGTGGGTTACGAAGCCAAGGAGCTGAGATATGCTGAGACGGGGGTGAAGGAACGGTACCCACTCACTTGGGTTCTTGGGGATGGAACGCCGCCCCTGATGATTGATTGATTAACGAAGATTAAGCCACCACAAGAGATGGCACGGGCATGAGTAGCCCGTAGGTGGTAGATGTCTGGAGTAAATGCGATCGATCTTTGGCTTTAACGGGTTATTCATGCCCGTGCCATCTCTTGTGGTGGCTTTAATCTTCATCAATCAATCAATCAATCGACCTTTGGTCGTGTGGCCGTCCCTGCCTGGAGCGAGGTCGTCGCTATACCCACCAATCCAAGTCGATCAACCAAACAGATTATCGACATATATGATAAGGTGAGGGGGGAAGAATGTTTGCTCATTCTTCCTCAGGACTTTGCTCATTCTTACCTTTCTTTAGTAGATTTCAAATATTGGACAAATATTCTTCGTCAGAGGAAGTACACACAGTGAACCCTGCTGCAATCTAAGGGTAATCACGACGAGCTAATTAAGCGACCTTGTTTTTCAGGTCCTGGGCAAGGGAGGTTGGTCACTAGCGAAGGGTGAAGAAGATAGGCAATCAGTGTAAAATTGGAATAATTACCTGCTGCTTCCTATAATGAAAATGAGCAAAATAATTGCCTACAAATTTCTTTACTTATATATATATATATTTTATAGGTTCCCACGTATCAAATAATTATTCATGTTTTATTTGAGAGATGAGACAGTTGGCTTTTTCTTAGTAACTGAAGAGTGTCTTAAGAAAGTTGTGACCTATTATTATGAGACGCTATACGGAGGACATACGAGGCAGGGACGCGGATATCTGGAGACGCCCACAGCTCCTAGCTTCTCCAGCAGGCAGCTGTGAGCCTGGAGACGACCTGGCTATACCCCCCCTAGGCACTCTGCTGCCAGCAGGAGACCGGAAAACGGGCGGTCGGACACAGCTCTTGACTTATTAAAACCTACGTCCAGCATTTGACTTATAGTCAAAGAGGATGGAGGATGTGTGGGCTCAGCACTCTACTGACATACGCGCCAAAAACAACCTCGCTGGGGTTGTGTGTGTATGTATGTATGTATGTATGTATGTATGTATGTATGTATGTATGTATGTATGTATGTATGTATGTATGTGTATGTGTATATATATACATATATATATATATATATATATATATATATATATATATATATATATATATATATATATATATATATATATATATATATATATATATATATATATATATATATATATATATACATATGTCGTACCTAGTAGCCAGAACGCACTTCTCAGCCTACTATGCAAGGCCCGATTTGCATAATAAGCCAAGTTTTCATGAATTAATTGTTTTTCGACTACCTAACCTACCTAACCTAACCTAACTTTTTCGGCTACCTAACCTAACCTAACCTATAAAGATAGGTTAGGTTAGGTCAGGTAGGGTTGGTTAGGTTCGGTCATATATCCACGTTAATTTTAACTTCAATAAAAAAAAAATTGACCTCATACATAATCAAATGGGTAGCTTTATCAATTCATAAGAAAAAAATTAGAGAAAATATATTAATTCAGGAAAACTTGGCTTATTAGGCAAATTGGGCCTTGCATAGTAGGCTGAGAAGTGCGTTCTGGCTACTAGGTACGACATATATATATATATATATATATATATATATATATATATATATATATATATATATATATATATATATATATATATATATATATATATATATCCAGGAAGCGTGTTGGGGACACTACACGCCGCGGGGCTGTGAGTTACTGGTGGTGGGAGACGGGTGGCTAGGGCCATCTCTCCACCCTTATTTATATCTCAATTAGTTCTTCGCGCCATGATGAATAGATCACTGTTGAGATGCTTCTGCGTCCTGCTTGGTCTCGCGGGTTGGCTCCTGCTTGGTCTCCCTGGTAGACACCTGCTTGGTCTCGCTGGTAGACACCTGCTTGGTCTCCCTGGTAGACACCTGCTTGGTCTCCCTGGTAGACACCTGCTTGGTCTCCCTGGTAGACACCTGCTTGGTCTCGCTGGTAGACACCTGCTTGGTCTCGCTGGTAGACACCTGCTTGGTCTCCCTGGTAGACACCTGCTTGGTCTCGCTGGTAGACACCTGCTTGGTCTCCCTGGTAGACACCTGCTTGGTCTCGCTGGTAGACACCTGCTTGGCCTCTGTTCTACTAATATTTCGCCAAAAAACTACCTGAATGTGATAGGCAGGCGATGAGTCACAATAACGTGGTTAAAGTATGTTGACCAGACCACAGGCATTCTCAATTGACTTGAGAATGGTCCAGGACGGACCGAAACGTCGTCGTCCCTTCACCTTCTAGTGTGTGGTCTGGTCAACAACCTGATTGTGATATGTTGGTTTAAAGAGGTATACAGTGAACCCGGCATCCACAGTATCCTGTATTCATTATAAGCAGCTTGCACGAGGGCGAACAGAGGTACAGTGAACAGGTCCTAAAACGATCACATAAATACCTCACTTTATCCACGACATTTATCTACCTGAAAACCAAAGTTTTCAAACAATAACCATCAGAAGTTGAAGGCAATAGCCAAAAAAGCGGTCCAATGTTACGAAATGAATAGTTACAAAAAAAAAAAGAGTCAAAAGCAAAATGTAAACTCAGCACTTCCTCGCTTCCCCTTAAGTTTACAAGTTTACACGACCCACACTGGCCGAGCTGGGTCATGTGTGTGTGTGTGTGTGTGTGTGTGTGTGTGTGTGTGTGTGTGTGTGTGTGTGTGTGTGTGTGTGTGTGTGTGTGTGTGTGTGTGTGTGTGTGTTGGTGGGTGGGGGGGGTGGAGAGAGAGAGGAGAGAAAGCAGGGTCAACAGGATAAGGGGAGGGAGGTCTGGGTGGAAGAGGTCTGGAATCCAAGAAACGACACTCAGGCCTGGCTACCGGAAGCACTAACTCCATCAGAGGCACCTACCATGGGATGGAGGAGCAACTGGGGAACACACCTACCATGAGAGCAGTGACCATGGGGGCCACCAGGATCCAGACGTAGGGGAGGACAGCGTAGCCCCGCCAGCAATGGACTGGGTGATGGATAGCCATGGCCGTGGCCCAGGCCACCAGGAACACAAGCGACCAGCCTGCAACACAAGAATTCGTCAAAAGGTGCCAGCAGCATTCGTCAAGGCTGCTTTTTACGCCACCACTTTCCTTAAGCATAGCGCCTTTGTTTACAAGTCTTAAAACAGTTTACCGGCTTGGAAACTTCACAACCCAAGGTTATTATTGTTACAAAACAATCTCGTAGCGCCTCGGAGCTCATTAACTGTTTAATATATGTCAACAAAGCCGCCATGACTGAGTAAAAATGCGCAGGTTTCGTCAGTGAAAGCGTAAATGCTTCCTAAAGCGTTCTCATATATTTGACTTTTAACATGAAAGACATACCATACCGTAAAGAAACAGAATACATAGTTTGAGAAATCAGTGATGCTGAGGTTGTTATGAGATGATAATGTCTGCTGCCTGGCGACTGACCTCAGAGTGAAGGACTGACCCCCCAGCTTATGGTGTAGTAGAGTGAATGACTGACCCCAGCCTATGGTGTAGTAGAGAGTGAAGGACTGACCCCAGCCTATGGTGTAGTAGAGAGTGAATGACTGACCCCAGCCTATGGTGTAGTAGAGAGTGAAGGACTGACCCCAGCCTATGGTGTAGTAGAGAGTGAAGGACTGACCCCAGCCTATGGTGTAGTAGAGTGAAGGACTGACCCCAGCTTATGGTGTAGTAGAGTGAATGACTGACCCCAGCCTATGGTGTAGTAGAGTGAAGGACTGACCCCAGCCTATGGTGTAGTAGAGTGAAGGACTGACCCCAGCCTATGGTGTAGTAGAGAGAGTGAAGGACTGACCCCAGCCTATGGTGTAGTAGAGTGAAGGACTGACCCCAGCCTATGGTGTAGTAGAGAGAGTAAAGGACTGACCCCAGCCTATGGTGTAGTAGAGAGTGAAGGACTGACCCCAGCCTATGGTGTAGTAGAGAGTGAAGCACTGACCCCAGCCTATGGTGTAGTAGAGAGTGAAGCACTGACCCCAGCCGATGGTGTAGTAGAGAGTGAAGGACTGACCCCAGCCTATGGTGTAGTAGAGAGTGAAGGACTGACCCCAGCCTATGGTGTAGTAGAGAGTGAAGGGAGCGCCGGAGTCGAAGACATTAGAGGTGAGTCTGGAGTGCAAGAAGAGGCCCTCCACGAACATCCAGTTGATGGAGGCCATCTGGGCGTACATCCCGAGGGCCAGCAGCGTCTTGCACAGCCAATCCTGCAACATCAACACCATCTTACCATCTTACACAATAGCAGTCGCCAATAATGTGATATATTTATTGTGGATCATCTTTGGAGCACTGAAGGTGGGATCGAAGCATCGTCCTGTGCGTGGCCCCATCCCGGATGCGCGCCTTGAAGCGTGGATCACGAGATACTTATAATGAACGAGCCAGGAGTGTGACGCCAGCCCTAACCTCCCCGTGACGCCAGCCACACCTCCGCGTCACGCCAGCCACACCCTGCGTCACGCTAGCCACACCCCCGCGTCACGCTAGCCACACCGCATCACCTCGCGTGCTACCACATGCGGTCACGAGTGCGTTTTGCCGCCTGCCACGCGCGGAAAGTGTAGGACAACAACACTACTCTTGTGAAGAATCTCACAGTTGCCATACGCGCAAGTGCCGAGAATAGAGTGTCATATTCCAGTGTTGCCATGTACGGAAAAGCACAGGAGACTGCTGCCGGATCACCTGGCCAGCTGGTGGAGCCAGACCACCTGGCCAGCTGGTGGAGCCAGACCACCTGGCCAGCTGGTGGAGCCAGACCACCTGGCCAGCTGCTTGCATGAGTGTTGTATGAGTGCATGAATGAGGGCCAGACCACTGCAGGTACAGCATTTGTTGTCGTCTTTGCTCTCTCTCTCTCTCTCTCTCTCTCTCTCTCTCTCTCTCTCTCTCTCTCTCTCTCTCTCTCTCTCTCTCTCTCTCTCTCTCTCTCTCTCTCTCTCTCTCTCTCTCTCTCTCCTCTCTCTCTCTCCTCTCTCTCTCTCTCTCTCTCTCTCTCTCTCTCTCTCTCTCGCTCTCTCTCTCTCTCTCTCTCTCTCTCTCTCTCTCTCTCTCTCTCTCTCTCTCTCTCTCTCTCTCTGCCAATTAATCTTGCTCACCCAACACCTGAAACAGGTGGGGGCCGAGGTAGGAAAGATCAGTGAGTTGAATATTGTCGTTGTGGCTGTCGTTACTTCCACACTCACAGTTACAGGTGTGGAAGTGTCGTGCATCATCGTTACTGCACATATGTGACACTTAGCGACCATAACTGCTATGCAATGCTGACTGCCCCCATTGACAGATTATCGAGTGATACTGAGGCATGATCATTTCCTGTCACTTAAGACAGTATTTTAATTATTGTTCATGCGCACGTGTTAGAACTCCCCACAGAGCTCCTGCTGTTGTTGTTTTAGGTACTGGGAACAAAATGTTCCAAAGTAGCACGGGCTATGGTGAGCCCGTAGTGGACTTACCTGCCACAGGAGCGGGGCTGTAACTTGTGACGGAGCGCCTGGACCCCCGATTAGCATACCAACAGTGTTTAGGAAGCCGCGTTAATTGATTGGTTGTCGAGACCAGTGTTAAGTGAGTCTTTGTTCCTTCAAGGCAACCATTACAGATCAATTATAGACGTTCCCTGTCTGTCTGATCCAATTATCTTAACCGTGACCACTCTCGAGTAATCAAGCCCCTGGGTCTTAGCAACTTCTTGAGATAAGCTTAAGTTCACTGCTACTCTAATGTTTCCGTGAAAATCTCCGAAGATATTGCTACTCACCACTAGTGCCTTCAAGTCTTATACAAGCCTTTAATCGCTAATTCAGTAAATGTGATGTTTCTTTTTGGTAAATTTGCATTAAGGAAGGAGGGGGGAGATTCTCAGGGTCAAGGTGAACCTCAACCCGGGGAACACCAGTCTGAGGACGACCAACTACAGTCAGGTCCCACTCGAGTGGTGGGCCGAGGGCTGGCAGTGCCGCTCTAGTGGCTGGTGCAGCCTGCATGCACAAGGCCTTCGGGGAAAACTAATATCCCACATTGGACACTCACCACGTCACTACAGATAAGTAAGGACACTCACCACGTCACTACAGATGAGGAAGAAGACTCACCACGTCACAGATAGGAAGAACACTGAGGAAGAAGACCACTCACCACGTCACTACAGATAGAGAGAAGAAGACTCACCACGTCGCTACAGATGAGGAAGAAGACTCACCACGTCACGGTACTCACCACGTCCACACGTCACGGTAGATGAGGAAGAAGACTCACCACGTCACTACAGTCTCACTACAGATGAGGAAGAAGACTCACCACGTCACTACAGATGAGGAAGAAGACTCACCACGTCACTACAGATGAGGAAGAAGACTCACCACGTCACTACAGATGAGGAAGAAGACTCACCACGTCACTACAGATGAGGAAGAAGACTCACCACGTCCCTACAGATGAGGAAGAAGACTCACCACGTCACTACAGATGAGGAAGAAGACTCACCACGTCACTACAGATGAGGAAGAAGACTCACCACGTCACTACAGACGAGGAAGAAGACTCACCACGTCACTACAGACGAGGAAGAAGACTCACCACGTCACCTACAGATGAGGAAGAAGACTCTCACCACGTCATGAGGAAGAAGACTACAGATGAGTGAGAAGAAGACTCACCACGTCACTACGATGAGGAAGAAGACTCACCACGTCCCTACAGACGAGGAAGAAGACTCACCACGTCACTACAGACGAGGAAGAAGACTCACCACGTCCCTACAGACGAGGAAGAAGACTCACCACGTCACTACAGATGAGGAAGAAGACTCACCACGTCCCTACAGACGAGGAAGAAGACTCACCACGTCACTACAGATGAGGAAGAAGACTCACCACGTCACTACAGACGAGGAAGAAGACTCACCACGTCACTACAGATGAGGAAGAAGACTCACCACGTCACGGTACAGACGAGGAAGAAGACTACCCACGTCACTACAGATGAGGAAGAAGACTCACCACGTCACTACAGACGAGGAAGAAGACTCACCACGTCACTACAGATGAGGAAGAAGACTCACCACGTCCCACGGACGAGGAAGAAGTCCCCGTTAAAGATGAGGGTCCCCCT